AAACCGCCCTCTTCTGAAAATCAAAAGAAAACTAACAATACCTGGGCGCCCAAGATCAGATCAAAAACAAAGAGTCCAACTTTTCTGGGACTCTTCCCCGTACTCCAGTTCTTCTTGTTTTTTATGTCAAACAGTAGATCACCTTCTTGATGTCTAGATCCCACCAAAAACTCCAAGAACTGGGCAATCTATAGGAGATCGATCAGCCCTTTACTACTTCATGCAGTCGGCTGATTTAGGGCTGCATGAGAATGCTTCAAAAAACCCTAGCCGATGCTATGATACCAAGTAGAAATCTGCTGAATTAAAAAATATGAAAGAAAGTAGTTTATTGAAGAGAGAAGGAAGAGAGAAGGAGAAGAAGAGAAGAAGAGAAGAAGAGAAGAAGAGAAGAAGAGAAGAAAAGAGAGAAATAATCTGGCCGCCCCCTTCACTTATTATTTATACTAAATAGAACAGTACAAAGACTACTATGCCCTTATAGGGCGGAAAAACATAAAACAGCATATATAACACTCAAAAAACATAATAAAATTTGGACTTACATAACTACTGTGGTCCCCACCTCCTATCTAACAACTAACATAAAACATCTACTCAGAAAAACATCATAAAACTAATTAATCTTCAACAACAACCAAAGACCTTAAGGGGTAGATTAAAAGGAGGTTCATCAAGGAAGAGTAGTTGATGAGGAGAGTGAAGGTTATAAGGAACCTTGATGGGAGTTTGTTAATGAGAAGTATAAGGATTACGAGTGTTTCATAGGAGTTGGAGGCAGGTTGATTTTGGTTGTTGTGATCAGCCCAAATCAATTCCAATTTCCTCTACATTGCCAAATTTAGGTACTACTGCTACTATTTCCTTCATCCACAAATGACATTGCTACCTTACCTCCTAGCCCCTCACCCATAGCCATTGGGCCTTTACAAACACTAGATCTTGACCTCTGTATTGCTTTTCTCAAAGAAAAGTGTTGTTACACTACTTTCACTGCCCACTACATTTCCCAGTTCCTATCTTATAACCATCTTTTGCCATCTTATAAATCCTATTTCACATCAATTTCTGCTATCTCCATTCCCAAAAAATGTACAGAAAACCCTATTAGTACTTAAGTGAAAAGATGCAATTAAAGCAAAAATGGATGCCCTCATTAAAATTAAGACTTGGGAGTTGGTGGATCAAACAAAAGGAAAGAAACTAGTTCAATGCAGATGAGTGTTTACAGTAAAGTATAATGTAGATGCTTTGTGGGCATGATTGGTTGCAAAGGATACACATAGACTTATGGCAGGAATTACTTGGAGACCTTTTTCCTAGTTGCCAAGATGAATACTCTCAGAGTGTTATTGTCCCTCATTAGGTTCTCATGGCTATTATTTCCAATGTACATACAAGAATACTTTTCTTAATGGTGATCTATAGGAGGAGGTTTATAAGGAGTTTCCCCTGGGTTTTATGACACAAATGAAGGGAAGATGGTTTGCAAGTTAAAGAAAGCATTATATGGTCTAAAACAATCTCCGAGACATGGTTTGACAAGTTTAGACTTGCTTTGGAAAGATTTGGTTATGTATAGACTCAATCAAATCACACTCCATTTATTAAGAATGGATCTTCCTTGACTCTCCTTGTTGTGTATGTAGATGACATTGTAGTGATAGGTAATAATACTGGTGAGATTAATTCCCTTAAGTAGCGCTTCTCAACAAAGAGTTTGAAGTGAATGATTTGTGTGATTTGTGTGATTTGTGATATTTCCTAGGAATTGAGGTGGCCCAGTCCAAGAATGGTATTTTTATTTCCTAGGGGACGTATGTCCTTGATCTTCTAAAGGAAACTAAGAAATTAGGAGTTAAACCTATTGGCACACTGATTGAATTGAATCACAAGATTAGTGGAAAGGGTGTGAGCTTCTTGAAGACAAAGCCTGCATCAACGTCTTGTAGGAAAGCTTTTATTATCTTTATCTAACATGCCTTGACATTACCTATGTTGTCAATGTTAGTCAATACATGAATTCTCCTAGAAATTAGGATTCTTTCAGTAGAGAGGATTCTTGCCTACTTGAAGAGGTGTCCAAGCCGGGGTATCCTTTTTAAGGATAATGGTCATATGAAGATAGAAGTGTACATTGGTGCTAATTGGGCCAAATGTTTTGATGATAGGAGGTCCACTGTAGGGGGTTATGCTTTTATTGGAGAGAAGTTTGTGTCTTGGAGGAGTAAGAAACAGAATGTTGTTGCCCATTCAAGTTTTAAAGAGGTGTATAGGTATATGTCTCACAAAATGGATAAGGCATTATGGTTGTGATCCTTTATTGAAGAGTTAGGTATTGAGTATGAAAGGCCTTTGATATTGTATTGTGACAACCAAGCTGCCATTAGAATTGCCCACAACTCAATACAGCATATTAGAACAAAGCATATTAAGGTGGGTTGGCATTTTATCAAAGAGAGAAAGTTGCCACTTAGGAAGTGTGTCTGCCATATATTGCCTCTGACATGTTGCTTGCTGATCTCTTCACCAAAGTAGCCACTAAAGTCTAGTTGGAGATAGATTTACTCAAGTTAGGAATCACCAATATCTATTCCCAACTTGAGGGAGAGTGTAGAGATACAATAGATCAATTTTGGTCTATTATTTAAGTGTGGTCCCATGTTCTTTTTAAGCTCATTTATTGCTGTTTTACTATTCTATTATTTGTTTTTCTTTATCTTATAGGCGACCGGGGTATAACAGTCATTGTAACTTATTTTTAATTTTTCATATAAATAGTAATGAGTGGGGTGACAGAACCAGCTCCGCTTTACCTCTCCTTTGTTTCTTGTCTCATTTTTCTCTTCTGCTGCTTCTCTTCTCCTTTATTTTTCTTTGCTGTTTTCTTGTCTAAACCTAATTTGCTATCATCTATTTCAGCCACATCTCATATTTACGAATTCGTATTAGCTGAATGTATTAGCTGTGTAGCAGGCTGTGGAACCAATGATAATGCCCCACGCCAGTGATAAATTACATGGGCCCACAGTAAAAGGTTGCATGGTTGTGGGCCCCATGTATATGACTGGTGTAGAGCATTATTATTGGTTCCACAGCAGCACAGCCTTCTGACCAGCTATTGCATTCTTGTTAACCTATCTCCATATTTACAAGGTTTCACAATAACAGGTTATTATCAGGAATTATTTCATCGTAATTCATTTCTACTCCTTTTCTGAACCCTTGGCATGTATTATGAATTATGGAAAACCATTTCAGATGATCTAAGTTTTGAAAAGTGGTGGTCCTAATTTTTCATCTTATTTGTAACTTCTATAGCAATCACTTCAGCTGTTCTGATGAAAAAAAAAGGATGCAAGAATTCAAACCTTCAATAGTCTGAGGAAAGATAGAAATCATGTTGACCAATAGTCTAAGTGGTAATATTGAAGTATTAATTTAGAACTTAAACAACAAAGCTTTCAGTTCAAAAACTGTTCTCTAGCATCTGTTAAATGTTGTTTATACCTTAATAACATTTAAGCTATTTTTATTTTTTACAATCTATATGCAATTTCTTTGATTTTCATAATAAAGTTAGTATTGTGTTCAAAATAAATTTCTGATTAATTGTCTTTGGCATGACCAGAAGCCCAAGAGGAGAACACCAGTATCATACGGTGGAAGGTCTAGTGTGACAGAAAAATCACAGCGGTCCAGAAGCATGTCTTTTAGTCCTGATCGTGTTCGTGTGAGAGGCAGATCTCCAGCTTTCAATGCACTCGCTGCTAACTTTGAGAACCCAAGTACCAGGAACCTTTCAACTCCACCTCCTGTGGTTAGAAAGCTCTATCCGAAGTCTGTGACCCCAGAGTCATCAAAACTGGCTTCAAGATCAGCAGCAATAGCAGCCCTTACTGCAACTTTTGAACAGCCAGTCCGTGAAAACATTGTATCCCACACTCCTAAAGGTATAATACTGGCATGATAAATTGACCAGAGAATATTTATTCCTATCATGGAATTTGAAATATTATTGTCTTGTGGATGAAGCGAGCCCTGAATCTTACAAAACAAAACCAGATAGCAACATTAAGGATAACAGCAATTCCATGAGCAGTAGAATTGAAGCTTTAACCATAGAGGAGGATGTGAAGGAGGGTGAAGCTGAAGATGAGGAGGGACTTCTGATATATCCCTACGAACGCCTTAAAATATCATCAACAGATCCTGTTACAGATATTGATGTCACCAAGAGAGAGGTAAAATTTTTAAGATATGCCATCGTAAATTGAGGTGTCCACCATGCAAATTCTAAGGTTCTGGAATTGGATGCATGCAGACTTACCTATCTTCACAAGAGTTCCGGGAGAAATTCGAGATGACAAAGGATGCTTTCTATAAGTTACCCAAATGGAAGCAGAATAAGCTTAAAATGGCTCTCGAGTTGTTCTGAGTTTACTTACCATCACCATTTCTCTTCAGATTCCTGTAATAAAGATGCAGATGGATGAATGCATGCTTGTGAAGTTGTAGGGTTTTTTTTTCTCCATCTTATTATTTATGCAAATTTTATGCTACAGAAACATTTTCAGCAGTTTACAGTGGTCTCATGTTGCAATATTTATAGCCCTAGTACACAAGATTTTACATCCCTTTGATGATTTCTTTGTACCAGTGCTTTGAGACATGTTTCTGTATTGTAGAATTTCTCTATTAGTTATTTTATACTTAACCTTTTACTTTGATTCTTATTGTAGATTAGATTCCTGAAATTTAATTTAATTGCTTGCTTTGTCTCTTGCAGGGAGGATGCAAATTGTTAGGCGTGGAGGGGTGGGCATCAGTGCATTTTTAGCTGCTTCTGCTCCCCAGAAGCGTGTTTTAGGACAGTTGCCAGGTTTTGCCATTTTTGTTTGTTGCTTGTCCAGGCTTTTTCTTCTTTTTTTCCGAGTGATATGCTTGGTATTCTTTAAGGTCCAGATTGGTTCTGAGCTTGCATTTTTGTTTCTTTGATTTTTTTATTCAAAAATTGTTTCTACCTGAGAGATCATAGGGCTTGTTATTGCAGACCACTTAGATTGTTGTCTTGCATAACCAACTATGGAAGGTGATGTGTACAGCAGTGTAAAATCATTTGATGCAAATACCAGCAGTGTCCATTTCTCCCATAATAAAGTCTTTTTTTCCTTTATTTTATTTCTTTCTAAATAGGTTTCTTTGTCTGTTTTCCTGTTTTTCCTTTTATTTTTCTTTTTTCCTTCATTATTATTATTATGATGGGGGAAGAGGGCAGTAAACAATGAGTTCATGCAATTCCTGAGGAGTTAGAATATGCCTTTAGACGGATCCCACCTTCTTTATTGGGCAAAGAAATCCATGAATTGCATAAACTCGTTTACTAGCACTACTCAGGTATCTGTATCCTGGAAGAACCAAAGGTTAGAAAGGATCATTCAGATCTTATCCATTGGAGTCTGAACATTTATACTACTTTCACTGATCTTCTAAGAGAGCCGGAGAGCATCTACTGTTAAATTCGTTTTCATCTTGTTTAGATGCTCGAACTCTGTTGATAGCCATTGGCTATTTTGTTGATTTCTGTTTCTATATGCCTGTGGTCCGTTGATTACCGATTGATTCTCTTCAGGATCTGAACAAAGAGATTGAAAAAAATGTGGTATTACAGATGATGAAATTGTCGTTTAGAGATGTGGACAGAAAGCTTGCATTGGTTTCTAAGATTTTACCTTTAAAATTTTAAAAAGGCTAGCTATAACCTAATGTTGGTCCCAGCCATCTGATGTCTTGGGACTTGGGAGTGGTAGGCTGGATGGGTCCTAACCTGCAGCACTTTTTTTTCCAACACTGTCCCAACAGATCATTGCAGCTGCACATTGGGAACATCTCCCTTATCATTGGAGATGCTTCTGATGTGCCACTGTAATGGTTTGTTGGGACAGAGTTGGGAGTGTTGGTAGCCACACATCTCTCAATTCATAATAGAGGTGTGGTTTCAATTCACCGCGGGTACAGAATGGGTAGGAAAAGTGAGTAGAAATCCCGAGTGATTATGAATTTTCTATAACAGCGTTTATAAACTTTTAAGTTTTTAAATCACCTATTTTGGGTTTTACTGTTGTGTATCACCTAAAAAATAGAAAATAAAGAAAATACTTAATTGATCGCTAAAATTAGTATTAATTGGATTTATAAAAGTTTTTAATCGTTAAAATTAGTATTTTTAAATGCTACAGAAAATCATTTTGACCTCAAAGCATTAATCATTTCTCAATGTTTCTTAAATATGTCTTGATGGTGATGCAAATTTCTTATAGTATTGACATACATGAAGGATTTTTGTGAATTACACTAACTGCGCTCTGATTAATCCACCGTATTCTTGCATATTATATACCGAAGTATTTTCCAATATTAAGATTTTAACCTTGTCTAAACCCAAAGTTTAAAATATATGCATATTGGATTTTGATAAGATCGACACATGGTATGGTAGGATATCACTAATTTCTATAAAATTCCATTGTATCAACAACATAACTGGTCGGTATAGATTCCTCTAGTGAGCAAACTTATATCATCGAGTTCAATAGTCTCTTGGCCGTCCATTCTTACCCACTCCTCTAATCAAAATTGGAGTCCTCTATTGTCATTGTAGTCCAGTCTGATTGGTTACCGAGGTAGCTTAACCCAAGAGGGGGAAATGCAAATGTAAAAAAGATTTGGTTGCAATGCAAATGCAAAGATATACACTGCATATTAACCATTTTTTATGGTTCATGAATGCAAATATGGTTCACATTTTAAACCGTTTTTGCACTCATCTTGTTTGTTTGAAATTGGTGCAAAGTGTGGGCTCATCATTAAATACTCCAATTATCCTATACTCCAATGTCTTAACTTTGGTCAAAAAGTTAATTATCAAAAGAACACAAAATTGTATCCAAAAATTAGGTACAATAATGCTCTCTTCTCAGAGTACAAAACTGTCAAAAAATACATTTTTGATTTGATATATCAAACAAATGCTCGCAAACACAAACCAAGGTACATAAATATCCCGGTTCGGCGTTTATATCACAAACAAACAAAGCCTTGAGAATTCATTTAACTCTAGGATTCTTAGGATTTCTGCTATAATAACGAAACAATGATAGGCTGAACGACCTAATCTACAACAATATGTACATGTTAATTTTACACGCCTTGAACTTGATCCTCTTACAAATTTAGTTTTAAAGGGTTGGTCTTTTCGGGAATAGGAGTATCCAATCCCCTTCCTTTCATTACTCATTTTCTGGCTTCCTAACATTTTATTGAAATTATTAGTTCCACTAGTAAATTTACCTAAGATTTTCAATACATAACTTTTCAACTTTTAGATCAATACATTCATTTTTCAATTCTTGAAAGGATTTATCTAATTCCTCATTCTTCTTTCTTAGCTCTTCATTTCCAGCCTTTAGCTTTGAATTAGAGGAAGCAAGTATAATATTTTGATTCTTTAAGCTAGTGGACTACATTGTAAGATTTTTAATTATCTTCCTAAGTTTTCTATTCTTTACAGTTAATATCTTGCTCTATCTCTTCTAATAATTCTTCTAAAGCATGTTGAATTCTTCTACAGTTAATTCAACATTCAAATTGCTGGAGTTTGAGATTAACTGTAAAATTATCCCTAGTTGAATTTTAAAATACCACATAAAATTATCCCGAATTAAATTTTATAAAAGTGCTTTCATAAATACTTTTATAAAAGTACTTCTGTAAAAGTGCTTTCATAAAAGTACTTTTGTAAAAGTTCTTTCATAAAAGTACTTTTATATAAAAGTTATTTTATAAAAGTACAATCGTAAAAGTGCTTTTATTAAAAGCACTTTCATAAAAGTTCTTTTATTAAAATGTTTTCATAAAAGTACTTTTATAAAAGTGCTTTCACAAAAGTACTTTCGTAAAAGTGCTTTCCTAAAAGTACTTTCCTAAAAGTACTTTCATAAAAGTGCTTTTATAAAAATACTTTATAAAAGTGCTTTCATAAAAGTACTTTTGTAAGTGCTTTCGTAAAATTTGAAAGAAAATGAAGGAACAAATGCTTATTTAAGTGCTTATTGGAGAAAAAGACTACCAAACACCCGATATAAAATAAGTGCTTATTTTTTAAAATAAGCACTTGAAAAAGTTGGGTGCCAAATGCAAATAAGTGCTTATTGGAATAAGCACTTGTTTTTAATCACTTATTTTTAACATAAGCACTCCCAAACATGGCCTTAGTAGAGGCCCTCTTATTCTTCAAAATTTTCCTTAATGAAAGTGTTATCTCTTCTTACTCATTGCAACCTTCTTATTCTTCTTCAACCTTGCTATCAGCAACACATTTGAGTGCAATGTTCCTTTTGTTATTGCAGCCCTCATCTTCATCGTTCTCCTTCAGCCTCATTTCATAAGTGACTAGAGACCAAATGAGTTTGCCCATGGTTAGGGTGTTGAGATCCTTGGCTTCTTGAATTGCAGTTACTTTGGCTTCCAAACTCTTTGGGAGAGACCTAGGAATCTTTCTTACCTTCTCCACCTCCGGATTTAACAAGATATCTAAGGCCATTGATAATATTTGTAAATATGGTAAGTATGTTAGCAATAGATTCTTCATAAATCGTAAAAGTGCTTTTATTAAAAGCACTTTCATAAAAGTTCTTTTATTAAAATGTTTTTATAAAAGTACTTTTGTAAAAGTGATTTCACAAAAGTACTTTTGAGTGCAATGTTCCTTTTGTTATTGCAGCCCTCATCTTCATCGTTCTCCTTCAGCCTCATTTCATAAGTGACTAGAGACCAAATGAGTTTGCCCATGGTTAGGGTGTTGAGATCCTTGGCTTCTTGAATTGCAGTTACTTTGGCTTCCAAACTCTTTGGGAGAGACCTAGGAATCTTTCTTACYTTCTCCACCTCCGGATTTAACAAGATATCTAAGGCCATTGATAATATTTGTAAATATGGTAAGTATGTTAGCAATAGATTCTTCAAATTTCATTCTGAACAATCTATATGCATGTATTGACATGTTTATCCTAGATTCTTTGACCAAGTTAGTTCCCCCATGGATAACTTCCAGTGTCCTCCAAATTTCTTAAGCAGACTCACATGTTGAGGTCCTATTGAATTCATTTCCATCTAAGGCACATTATAGGTTTTTCATAGCCTTAGCATTCAAAGATATCTTCCTTTTCGTCCTCAAGCCATTCTAAGGGATTTTTTTACTATTTCCTCTCCTACCTTCTTGGTTAGCCTATAAGGTCTCTTCTCGGCTACTTGCCAAAGCTCATAGGGAAATGAGAGAGACTCTCATTATTTCCTTCCAGTAGTTGTAGTTTGTACCATTAAAAAATGGTGGTCTAGTAATGAATTGCCCTTCATCATGTGAAGTGCTAGGTTAAGTGGTCAATCTATATCACCTTGCTATTAAGTTACTATCCAATGGTGAACCTGGGTCTCATACCCCTTGTTACCTAAGTAACCTAACCCAAGAGGGGGGTGAATTAGGTACTAAAACCTACTTAGCTAGCTTTCCCTCTTTAAGCAATAAAAACAATGCCCAAGATATACAAGATGTACAAGAATAAGTAAGAATAAGAGATAGAATAGACAAGTGCAATCCACAAGAACAAACACACAAGATTTATAGAGGCTTAGCTATCCACAACCTCTTGAAAAATTCAACTCCAATATATAGTTGGCCTTCTTGGGTTCTAACTAAACCACTGATAGTCATCAAATAGTTTCCTAGGTTCTATTCAAACCTTCTTGTGTCCTATCCTAGAACACAACCAATCCATCTAAAAACTCACTAGCTAATCAATCACAAAAAGTGCAATATATATGACAACAAATAACAATTGAAATGATGCCTCTATAAGGCTGATATGCAAGTAAAAGACAAGCTACTTAGATATAAGAGAATGCACAACAATGTATGGACTATAACACTTAAAGAAACTCATAGTTTCTTGGTGATAATCAATCAAGCACAATGGTTTTTTAACATTCATCACAAATGTGAAAATCTTTTAGCACAAAATMTCTTCACACTCCTTTTCTCTCTTGCTGTACTCTTTTTCAATTGAACCTTTTTGATCAATTCAGTTCCTTTACTATCTTCATCTCAAACTCATGCATAAATTTGA